AAAAAAAAAAAAAAAAAAAAAAAAAAAAAAACCCGTCAAAGGATGTTTATTTTCCCTGTCGATGATCGTGAGCTTTTTTTCAATCATGAGTATTTTTATACCACATTTTTTTCTTGGAAAAATTAAAAAAAAATATTCAAAGGATAAAATGTATCAAACCGTAGTTTTTATTTTCGTACTATAAACCACTAAAGGGTTTTTTTTTTTTTTTTTTTTTTTTTTTTTTTTTTTTNTTTTTTTTTTTTTTTTTTTTTTTTTTTTTTTAAATTTGCAGATAATTCAATATAACAGACTTTAACAAAAATGCTGCGCCCTGGACTGAGTATCTACCAAGCAAATAAAGGACACATGAGTCGTCTGCTGATACTAGTTTTGCTGAAGCTAGATTTCACAAACAGTCAAGATTGGAGTGAATATTGGAAAAATAAATTGAAAGAATACAAGGTGATACCTGATATACTTTCCTCCGAGCCGCCGCAAGCTTTGGGGGTAAGTTTGATGATTTTTATGTCCGCTTGTCATTCATTTACTCGATATGAAAATTACTGAAGTTACTGTTACAGTATGGGAGTTTCCTATTTCTTTTTCCTAGAGAGTTTAGAATATCTTCGTTTTTATTTTCCTTCATACGGTCAGACGATGGACTCTCCGCCCCTCTCCCCAATACTTCACAATTTTTCTTTCATTTTCCATCCCTAAAATTTCTATTGTAAGTTACGTTTTTATTTCGAAAGTTGTAAACACCGTTATGTTAATTTTTATCAGAAGCGTACATAACCTCAGATGTTAGGACACCTCCTACGAATGATGGCAGTATACTACGACTGGTTTAATATTGCGAAGAGTCATTTGAGGGTGGGGCCGTGTAGCGGCCAGGAGACCACCCTTTAGTTATAGTTATGCATAAGGACGATCTGACAACGTCTTCATCAAGTTAATGATATGAGTGTAAAATATCTGGACGGCAAATTCTTTGGTTTTCTGGGAAAAAAAATAAAATAAAAAATTGTCTCTCGTACAACACAGTAGTTGGTGCTACCTTTGATGCAGAATTTTCTGTCAAATCAATAGGTTCATCATCAGACTTAAACTGCAAAACTACTAACATTATAGCATTATCTTATGTTCCATAGTGTATTTCGATTTGCAGGCGATTTATCATATTTTTATCGTTAATTTTGGAGTACCATTACTTCCAATTCAATTTCAAGACGAACCAAATCGGATGGAATGGCCAACAGAGGACCACGCACTGTATACTTTAGTAGTTACAGGTATGGTCATAATTTCAGTAACTTTAAAATTCTCCAATACTCTCAGTATTTTCAAATCACTTAAGTTTCAACATTTTTACTTAATATGTTAGTAGAAAGAAAAGTATTTTTGGATTGCTGAAATTTTGAACTCACGCAGTCAGTTAATGTATTCAGAAAAATATTTAAAGTTTTAGGGTTGTGATAAACCAGTTCTTTTTTTCAGTTTAAGAAAAAGCGGAGATAAATGTATTATAGGTATTTTTTATAAATATCCCTCCGTTCATAGTGGCCTACGAAAAAGAAGGAGCCTTAATTTCTGCTTTAGAGAACCTTTTCGTCTTGTGAAAACTGGGCTGAGAGAGGCGTCAATCAAAACTATCCGCTTTACGTAAATTAATTTTTCTCATTCTAAGAGTAACTTAAATGTTGAATTATTTCATAACCAGAACCTTCAACCGGGGTTTTATTTACTCTTTAACTAAACTTCACCTCTGTAACTCCAAACTCAGTCTCTATCTTTCGAAAAACATTCCTTCATCCGCTTCGGCTGGTAGGAAAAACAGGAGGTATGGAAAATAATTGACTAGAGACTTCTAAATATCATCCAATCATCTACTTAGCGAGGGTACGGACAGATCGTTTCATAGAGAGCTTAGGAGCCAAAAGGGCAGCCAGCCTTAACACACAAAATTTCAGTGCCAATATTCAGACTCCGATGCAAACCAAGATGGCCAAGAATGTTCATAAATGAGCGTTCCTCCGCAAAAATGAGTAAATTAATGCGAACACTAAGTCAAATGCGTGCTTTTTAAACGACGGGTCGTAACGACTGTGACAATAATTTGTTTTAGATATTGGAATTTATAGGTTGGCTACCTTTTTGGGCCCTATTCGCGGAGGCATTGGTGAAGGCCTAAAGCAATTTTGCAGTTTTACACCTGTCTTCTCTCACTATACAGGTACTCCAGTTCAATCGTGACCAGTCGAAGCCTCTGTTTCAAATAAGAAAATTACTTTTAATGTTGGCAAAACGTGGCATGCATGAATTATATCACTATGGATAGTTATTAGACCTCGGTTTGGTCACTACACTGCCGTGATAGCGAAGAGAGCAGTAAGTGTCAAATTTTCGAAATGAAGTTTCCTTCAAAATTCGTCTAATCTCTTTTAAATGTCATCGCTGTAATAGCTCAAACAGTTAAATCAAGCTTCATTGTTCAATAGTAAGACATGAGAAAGCCGTAAGTGCGCAAAAAATGACGTATTTACAGGCAAGACAGCAGTAAGTGACAATATTCCTTCAGAGAGCCCATGAAAACAGGGCTTTCAAGTAAAGTGTCGCCCTCCTCTGCCAATTTCTAACCTGAAAATGTTTTTGTTGCTTGTCTAAAACGCAACCACAAAAGCAGGCAGAAGACTTATAGCATAGCCTTTACGGCTGTCTTGTCTAACAATAACCTAGCATGAAAATGAACAATACCCTTTTTACGAAATTGAAATAAAACCAGTTCGTTTTTAACCATTCAAACGATTTCTAGGAGTCTTTCGGACGATTAGAGGCAATTTGACAAAGAACGGAGGCTTCTTTCAATACAATTTTCCGGTCAGAAGCTCCTGAGACGGTTTTCTCAATACTTCATTTTTTCACTTAATGCTCTCTACGCCATCATGGCAGCACAGACAGTTCTGTCTGTGTATTTGATTACAGAAAAAAGTTCTGACAACTACTAAACATATTGAATAAGACTGTCACTTTTATTGCCATTGCTTTCTCGGATTGATTTGTATCTATTTTTTTCCTGTTGCGTCATAACTCATAATTAATTTTATTTTATGACATGGACTTACTCAGGTCTAGATGCTCCAACAGGCCAAAATACAAGTAATCGAGAATGGCTTCACTGGTTGATCGTAAACATTCCAGGTTTTCAATGGAAATTCGGAACCAAAATAGTGGATTATCAAGGTGACTCCCGCAATTACGGACCAGGTAAATTCGAATAATTTCTACAGCATAGTTTGATTGCTTTCTTTTTTTTTACGCAAAACAATGTGCGCATGCATACCTCCGCACCTTTCCCGTGAAAAAGCCTTCGGTGATTTTGTTGCCCATATCTTGGCTTTATAGATTGGTCGAAAAAAGAGGAAGAAAAAACAGTTTGTGTTGCCCGGCTAGTTAAAAAAAGGTGACGTCCCTCGTATTTCATACAGGACAATGCAATTACCGTACCGATGACAAGAGAGCAGAACCACGTAACTCCATTGTGGTGTTTCCATATCTCGACTGCAATGGAGATGTTGCATGTGTGAGGAATTTGCGATTTGACTGTTGATTCTTATGTAAAAGTTCGCGAGGAACAGGATGGTGCCACTGGTTTTCTCTGAAAGCAACTCCCAAGCTCAAAGAAAGCTCTTAAGTTGAGGCCAAAATGGAGGGGATATCCCCCGCTATCCTGAGAGTCCACCTCTACAACAAGACAAACTCTCCATGCGAAGATAGGGAACAAATACATTGACAGGGCTGCCACCTTATTTGGGGACTCAAAAACTGAAATCACGGTGCG